ATTCCCAATAATAAAAGCATTGTATAATCATTTACGGCCTGACTCTCTAAGTCCCCAGCGGAGTCACCAAGCTATCATAACGTCTCCCTCGAGGATTCGTTAGACTTAAAAAATTTATTCGGGGAAGGCGATGAAATATAATTTTGAAACAAATTGATTTTGGAGTCGCCACCAACCTTTAAGTTAGGTAGGTTGAAAACCTAAAATATCATTTTAATGAGTTCAAAAAAATCATTAAAACGAAAAATTGGTATGCGTTTTGCCAAAAATTCATTTTAAGAGTTGGGAGTCGATTACATGTGAGAAAGGGTGAGCACCCCCACAACGCCCAATTTTGGTACCTAAACAATCCTTCTATTTATTCGAATTTATTTAAAAATGTCTATTTTCAAAAAAAAACTAAAACAATGTTGCTTTTGTAAATAGGGAAATAAAAATTTGCTGACAAATAATAAATGCAGTGGGTAAAAAAATTAAAGAACCCAAAATATATTTTTATAGAATAAAGCTATTTATTTAACCCCAAAAAAAATATATTATTTTTATAAGAGAAATCACATTATTTTGTATGAACAATCATTGAAAATGAACTTCATTTATAGTTAGGAGACTTTTTAATGGATTCCCCTCACAAAATGATGTATCTTTAATTTTATAGATGACATAGTTTAAAAGAGAATAGTATTATATTAACTTTTTAGAAATGTTCAGATAAAAGAATGTCTTTTTGTGCGAGCAATCCTCGGAAATACACTTCCTTTGTAGTTAGGAGACTTTTCCATAGATTCCCCTCACAAAAAGACATTACCTCACATTTTCCTTATATCAAAGATAAAAATAAAATTAAATAAAATAAAATAAAATTTGAATGAGATAAAAAATTTTAAAAAAAGTAAAACAAAGAAAACTATCGAATAAAAAAATTTTGTGCGAAAAATCTTCGAAAGACACTTTCCCTTGTAGTTGGGAGATGTCTTCATAGATCTCCCCCAAAACAAAAGTTTCTTATTTGCATATACAAAAAATGATGACTTATATAAAAAATAAAGTTTGAATAATAATATAGATGTGTGATAAAAAGGTAGCGCTAATAAAGATAACTAAGTTCGATTTCGAATCTAAAATACAAGTCAAACATCGATAGCCTACTAGCATAAACGAGGGAGCAACAGACAATATTAAAATACCAACCAAGTAAGAGGATAAATAAATAAGGTTGGAACGTAAATAATAAAAAGTATAGGCATTAAATGTAAATATACCACATGCAAAATCAATGACTAAAATAAAATGAAGTGTAAGTTAATATACTTAAATGCAAATATAGAAAATAAAATGCTGGAAATTAAAAAATGACTGAAATAAAATGCAAGAAAATTAAAGGGCGGAAAAATAAAGTACTGGAATTTAAAGTGCTAGAAAATAAACAAAATAAAAAAAAGAAATAAATTGCATAAATTTAAAAGTTAGAGGGTTGTTTTTAACCGTTTAACCCGGACCATAAATAATGTGGATCATCCCCCAGCGCGGGTCACCACAAGGTCATTGAATATTCGAATGTTAGAAAGTTAGCGGGTTAGTTTGTGCAATAAATTAAAATGTTAGTAAGTTAGTAATAACAATAAAAATCAAAAGTTAGTAATGTTAGTATGAACAATAAAATAAAAGTTAGAATATTAATTCGAACGATAAAATAAATGTTAGAATGTTAGTAGATTAGTGACTAAATTAAAAAAACAAAAATAAAATGCAGAAATCGAAATAAATGAACAGGAAATGTAACAAAGTAGTAACTAAATTGCAAAAAATTAAAAATAAGGTGCCAAAATTAACAAAATAAAAAAGTGCATGGATATGGTGATAAGAATGTAAAAACATGGCATAAGGGGAGGGGTATACGTGATTTCACCATTTATTCAGCTTATATATACTTCATTTTAACCATTTTGGGTAAAAAAGCCTAGCCCCTTTAGATATCATTCTCTCTTTTCCTCTCTACTTCTTTCACCGGCCTAAACTTACCCAAGGGCAAAAACCCAATCGGCCACCATACATCTGTGGCCAAACCAGTTCCGATGAACCCCTTGGACTCCCATCCTCTCTACCCTAACCAAGAGCGAACCCAAAAAACCCCCACAAGGAAACGAAACCCTTTTATTTTCCCTTGACCGAAACTAAACAAAACCCTCCACCACCATTCCCGGTGGCCTTTACTCTTCGACCGCCACCACCGATGGCCGACTGACACCGAACTCAACCTAAAAGTCTAAGGGTGTGTTTGGTTCATAGAATGTAAGATTACTAGTGAGAATAAAAGATTACCAGGGAATAGGATTACTGGAATGTTGTATTTTGTGTTTGGTTGGTTTAGCAGGAATGTAAGATTAACGTGTTTGGTTAAAGGAATAAACGATTATTGGAATATATATTTGACCAAATTGTCCTTATTATATATTTGTTTTTTAACAAGTTGAAAAATATTTATATACTTTCTTTAAAAAAATTAAATTCATAAAATTTTATAATTTTTTTACAAAATTAAAATATAAAAGGTTTAATGAAAGAGTAAACTTTTATTTTAACCACTTCATATAAAATTTTAATTATAGATTTTTTTGTAAATATAAAATAGTTTAAGGATAAATTTGTAATTTAACCTTCGTAGAATTTTTATTATTCAATGATAAAAGAATGATATTTTTGAAAATAAAAATTAAGGGCATTTTAGTCTAAAACGCTGGTAATCCAACAATACCTAAGGGAATGGAGGTAATGGCATTCCCGGTAATATACCCAAAAAAATCCACTATTGGTAATAAAACATTACCGGGAATGACATTCCCGGCCAACCAAACGGGGGAATATGGATTCCATTCCCATGGGAATCCACATTCCCCAAACCAGACAACCCCTAAAAGCTTCCACCTTTCCTTGTTTTTTAGCAAATCTACAAAAAAAACAAAATAAGACCCCCTACATGACTAACTACCTGGTTTCCCAGCAGTTTACGACCCTAAAGGTTACATCTTTTTCGATGGGGGCCCTTATTCCGATGAGGAAAACCCACGCTAAGATAAAAACTCTAGCTTTATTAGGCTTTTAGTTGCTTTTTTCGAATGGTAAAAAATAGCACGAAAAAAAAGGAAAATACCTTGGCTGGTTCTTATTTTGAATCTGAATTTTTTTTATTTGTATTGATTTTTCCGAAAGGTTTTTCCGTGATCTTTACACTATTTGGTGGGGTTTTTATAATCCCATTCGGTTTACATGAAAAGGGAAAGGAAATAAACTTCTTTTTGCTTTTTTGTTGTATGGCCGAGAGAGGAAAGGGGTGAAAGGAGCCACCTTTCCCCGTTGATTTGTTCTTCATGCTCATCCGAGGGTCGAGACATGTCGAGGTAGCCACCTGACAACCATATAGGAGCGACTTTTCTGTTGATACTGTCGGGATATGGTGGACGCGCATGCGTGGGCGGATCGAGCTTTTCCTCACAAGCGGTAGTGCTGGTCATTAGGGATGAGAACCCTAATTTTTGGTATGATGTGATTTGGTTCGTTAGATCTAAAGTAGATTCAATGGCTGAGATGAGGCGGCGGCTGACTCTAAGGTTTAGAAATTCTATTTTTTTTTCTTTTCTCACGTGGGCCTCTGCATCCATTGGGCCTTAGTTGGATTTAATTGTGGTCTGATTTGTATTTGTGTTTAGCATTTGTAATGGACCTAAAAAACAAAACAAAACAAGTTTATATTTAGTTTAATTATAATTAATATCTATATATATAGTTATACTCCATGTGTACATATGAAACAAAACAAACTAAAATCCAAACCCGGATAAAATATAGTGTCTACACCGGTGTTTGCTATTGGAAAACTGGCGAAGGGGATGGGTTTTGTTGCTTTGGATTATGGCCATGGCTACCCTTTTCGTTTGGAAATTCATGCAGTACAGAAACAGGGCTGCATTTCAAGTCATGGGGTATTGTTTATGTACCGCAAAAGGTGCTGCCGAGACACTCAAGCTCAACATGGCTTTGGTTCTTCTACCCGTTTGTCGAAACACATTGACTTGGCTTCGATTGACCCAAGCAAGGTCCTTCGTCCCTTTCGACAGCAGCATTATTTTCCACAAGGTAAGAAATGAGATTTACAGTGTACTTGTATGAGCTTTGTAGATTGAAAGTCGAAACTTATTCAGTAATGATTGTTTTTTAGCAGACAATTGCACTCTGTTTTGGACAGACAATTTCGTGTGCAATAGCCATTGGGGTCTTGGTTCATGCAGGAAACCATTTAGCTTGTGATTTCATCAGCCTGACCGATTCCCCTACCGAGAAATTCGCACTCATAGCCTCTGATTTCAGTCAGGACAAGCGACCGACGTATATGGAGCTTTTGATCAGTATTCTAGGCGTGATGGGGATTGCCATGGTGATTCACATGTCCATTTTGTTTATATTAGCAACGAGTCACTTCCGGAAGAACGTTCTGCGATTCCCTGTGCCGTTCAACAGATTGACAGGCTTCAATGCATTCTGGTACTCCCATCACCTTCTCGGTCTTGTGTACAATTTGTTGGTGATCCATGGGACATTCTTGTACTTGGCACACCAGTGGTATCAGAAATCGGTAAGAGCTTCAGCATCGTAGTTCCCTTTAGATTAATAACCAAAAACAAGCATCTCAACTTGACCTAGTACTAACTATGTTGTTGTTTGCAGACATGGATTTTCATGTGTCCATTGCTGCTTTACTTAGGGGAGCGTAGTGTAAAAACAAGTAGAGCAGAGCATTATTCAGTAAAATTATTTAAGGTAAGTTTTAGTTGTTTCTTTACAAATTCTAGTCTTTAGCTAAACTAGGTAACCATTCGAGCTCGATGTGCAGGTTTCGGTACTACCCGGAAATGTCTCAGCATTTTCAAGTCAAAACTGCAAGGATTCAAGTACAAAAGTGGGCAGTACATATTCTTACAGTGTCCATCAATCTCCCCATTTTATATTACCTCGGCACCTCGAGACGAGTATCTTAGTGTTCATATCCGGACAGTCGGAGATTGGACTCAGGAACTGAAACGGGTTTTCACCAAAGTTAACGACTCGCCTTTCGTCATTGGCCGAGCTAGATTCGGTGGCCCTGGATATATTGATCACAACTGGTATAAACTACACTAGTGAGAAAAAACTTCTTATATTCAAATCTTACGAGTATCAACGTAATGTGCTTCACTGGTGCAGCCAACCTAAGTTACTCGTCGCTGGTCCGTACGGAGCTCCGGCACAAGACTACCGGAATTACGATGTTCTCCTCCTCGTGGACTAGGAATCGGAGCTACTCCTTTCATAAGCATCCTTAGAGATCTCTTAAACAACTCAAGACCAGAAGACCAAATGGTACATACATATGTTCATGATTCAAACCACTTCTCTGTTAGGACTATTAAGTACTTATTCCGGCCAATTTGATGGTATATAGGATTCAACAACAGAAATGAGTAGTTCAAATGATAGCTGGAAAGAAGTCTTTAGAAAAATAGCTTCAAAACATCCTCAAGCCACAGTAGGTAAGTACCTTTCTAACCTACTACGAGCTCTTAAAAATACAGCATCAATGGTTGTACGCTACCAACTAATGAAGAGAATATATAGAAATACATATACATAGATGTGTATGTACATCATTTATGACCTTTCAGCTTAACTCACAGGCTCACAGCTGTTATGCTTAGTTGAATTAATGGAAGAGAATCAAAATTGTAATGATAAAAAAATATGGAAGACTTTTGATATGAATCAAGAACATGCTTAGCATCATACTAGAAATTTTCTAATTATGGTTTTAGTCTTTCTAATGGGTTGAAATTAGGGATCGACACGAGACAATATAAGTTATTTATTTTATCATCTCAACCCTATTATGCTTTGTCCTTTGGTGATGCCATGACCCTCTTCCGACCCGATTTGGTATTAATATTTTTTTTTATTTTTATTCAACATGATGGGAAGATAATTGAAAAGAAATATATAGACCTCATTATAATAGTTATCTTAGATTAGATTAGATTAGATTAGATTAGATTAGATCGGAGATTTTTATCTTAAATTCGACTATATCATGACCTTGATTTTGATTCTCTCCTTCATAGAACTTGTCTAGGAATCTAAATATCCAAAAAGTTGATATTATAAGATCGGATCGGGTGGTAACATGCCAGATTCGAGTATTTTGATGAATTTAAGATTCAATGGTCTAATTATGATTTCCATCCCTTAACAATTCGAAAATTGGGATTTGATCCTCTATTTTGATTTAAATAATAATCATCTATTTTTAGAATGTTATCAATAGGTCGAAACTGATTACACCGGTAATTGTTTGTTAAGCGTTAATATTATTACTTGTTAATTGATAAAAATAACGGTTTTATAAAATCCATATCATCATTTTAATCATATTAGTTTGATCTATAAATTACATTATAAAATAAATGTCAAAATAACTTTGTTATATATATATATATATATATATATATATATATATATTATATATATAGCTTGACATTTACGTTAAACACATATTTAAAATATAAATGTAAGTATAAACTTCAATTATTATATGAACTTAACACTCTTTTTGAATTATGAGTAATTGTAAATGTAATACTTATATACAGCATTGAAATATAATCCACGGTAAATTTTAAAATTATATTTTGTGTTCAAAACAATTTGACCCTAGAATAGAATCAAAAAATTAGGGTTAACTACTTCAAATACCACTCACCTTTAAGTGTGGGCTCGAAATACTACTGACGTTTAATTTTGTCAATTTTTAAACCGATGTTAATGTTTAACTCCAATAAAATGCCACCCTGCCGTTAATCCATTATGGGACGATGACATGACATCTCCACGCCGTGACATTCCTGATGTGACTCCCTCACCAAAACGACGTCGTTTTGACACGATTATTTTAATACTCAAAAAGCCAAAATGACTTAGTTTTCCTTAAGAAAAAAAAATAAAGGTTAAACTTCTAAAACCAGTAAATTAACATACCCCAACATATCAAACACGCACGTTATCTCTTCTTCAACATCTCTCTCTCTCTCTCTCTTCTTCTTCTTCTTCTTCATCTTCTTCCTCTACTACCCATTGTCTCTCGCTCTCCTTAATAACCTAGGGATTCAATACAATTTATAAACAATAAATTCATTAATGAAATTTAGCTGATGGAATGAAAGAAATGGTAGAAAACATGATCGATATGTGTTGCTATGGAAACAAGAAATGGTTGACGAGCATTTACAAGGCCTTCATTGTCTCTGCCAATAAATGCAATCTCACTATCCACTTCCAATAAGTGCACAATTCTATAAACCATGAATCAGTAAGTTCACATAAACTCATCAAATGGATTTTCAATCTCAATAAATCTATTTGAAGTAGCAGAAAATAACTCAAATTGGCACTTAAAGGAAAAACTATTTGAAATAGCAGCAAGTGGAATTAAAAACATAACTTCAAATGAATTTCCTTTAAACTTGCTCTGCACCTACCAACAAGAAAAACCTAATGCTTTCATGTTACATCATTTGAAGATTTTGGTAAAACATTAATGGGTGTTTTGTTTTGTTCGTTGGAGATTTTTTAGGTGATTATGTTTCAATGTAAAAGTTTGCAATTTGAGTGTTAAATAGTTGAAGAAGAGAGAGAAAGGGAGAGATGTTATTAAGGAAGACCGAGAGATAATGGGTATGCAGAGGAGGAAGAAGGAGGAGGAGAAGAAGGAGAAGAAGGAGAGAGAGAGAGATGTTGAAGAAAAGACGTGGGTGTTAGATATGTTGGGGTATATTAATTTACTGGTTTTAGTAGCTTACCCCTTATTTTTTAAGCAAAACTATGTCACTTTGGGCTTATTTTAGTATTAAAATAATAGTGACAAAACAACATCGTTTTGGTGAGGGAGTCACGTCAGCAACGTCACGGCACGAAGATGCCATGTCATCGTCCTGTTAACGGATTAACGGTGGGGTGACATAATTGGAGTTAAATATTAACGTCGGTGTTAAAATTAATAAAATTGAAACATCAGTTTTCGAACTCGTGCTTAAAGGTGAGTGGTATTTGAAATAGTTAACCCAAAAATTAATTTAACTTATATATCATGTCATCTATCACATCAGGAGCTATCATGATTGTCACATCAATGTCGTGAACTATCACAACAACATCGTGAATTGTAATGTCAGTACCATCACGATCAATGACAAAAAACGTTAGTCGGTATTTCACATTACATTTTATTTTCCAAGTTAAAAGATCACATTAGATAAAACTTTATTCGATGAACATATTAATTTTTTTGGGTAAATTATACCATTGTTCACTCAACTATTTAGTATGTTTACTTTTATCATCGATCTTTCAATTTTGTCAATCAGACTACTTAACAATTTAATTGTATTCAATCAAACCACGAGCTGTTAACATTTAACAGACATGGTGACTTGGCTATTAAAACATTTGATATTATTACATATTTAGTCATCAAATCAGATGAGTCACGTGTTATCTTCCAATTGACTGATTAATTATATTATTTATTTTTTCAATATACTTTTCACCAATCAAAGGGTGTCACCCTATGATGGAAAGAAAATAAAGTGCACATATACATTCATAAGAGGATCAAACCTGGAGCCCTTGGTTGCAAGTTGGACCGCTAACCGCTTAGCTAATTTGAGTTTTAGTCTAAGGTGTATATATATAGTATATTTCCTATAATATTGTAATTTATATTTTAAATATTTTAATTAAATTCAAATATTAAATTAAATTCTCATCTTAACACTTATTAAATATATTTTACTTTTATTTTAAATTAAAAATATTTTTTAATCTTATTTTAATTTAAAAATATATTTTATTCTTATCTTAATTTTTACAAATATATTTAATTAAATCCACATATTAAAATTAAAAAAAACATTCTATCTTAAAATTAAATATTTTTATTTTAATTTTAATTTAAAAATATATTTTAATCTTATTTTAGCTTAAAATGTATTTTTATTTTTATGTTAATTTATGAAATATATTTGACTTTTATTTTAATTTAAGATATATTTTTAAAAGTTAATATAAGAATAATATATATATATATATATAAAGTTAAAATAAGATTAAAATATATTTTAAATAAATTAAAATAAATATATTTTTTAATGTTAAGATATTTTTTAATGTTAAGATGTGAATTTAATTTTATAATGTGAATCTAAACTAAATATATATATTAATAAAAGTTACACTGTAATATGTAATATATACGATATATTGTTAACCTTGAACCCAAAAAGCAATTTGGCTCAACGGTTGAGCACACCTTTAAGAAATAATAGTTCTAATGTTTGAACCCTCGTTGTGTTCGTTTGTTGCGCATTATATTTTCTTTCTACGGTAGAGTAACACGTGTCACTCAGTTGATTGGTGAAAAATATATTAAATTAAAAATAATTATAATATAATTCATCTTTCAATTGGATATTGTCACTTTTTTCTATCATAGGGTGACATGTGTCATCCTGTGATTAGTGGAAATTATATTAAATTAAAAATAAATTAATATAATTAATCTTTTAATTAGATAATGACATATAGATTCATATGATTTGATGATTAAATTTATTTTAATTTATTAAAATACTTAATATAAAAATAAGCGACTAAACTTTTCTTGAAATACGTTTTAGTATCTAAAGATTTTTGACTAAATATGTGTTCCTAACGTTTTCTCAATTGTACTTTTAAATGTCTACCATTTATTTTTTTTTAATTTTTAATAATACAAATATTATTTTTAATTAAAAAATAAAAAAGGTTTAATTTATTTATAAAAACCCCAAATTTTCATTGAAATTATAAAAAAGACCCTAAAAACTAAAATCTCTTATTTCAACCCCATTGTCAAATGTCGCTGACTATATCTGGCCACCACCATCATCATTGAACAATCACCCACTTGTCGCCACCTATCCATTGATCAATTGTCGTCCTTACCGTCACCCAAAATTCCTAAATCTATAATCCCCAATATACAAATCCCTAATTCCCAATTTCAATTTTTAACACAAAACGGTAGTCGGCCATCTCCCATCATCGTCACTAAACAATTGAGTTTTGATTGAAATAGAACGATTTTCGAATGGTGGCAGCGGTGTGGCTAATGGACATCAAAATTGGCCTGAATCGACGAAGAATGACAATGGAGGCTTAAAATTCGACAAACCTTGAACGCTCATCCACAACAAAAGGTGTCATACGATAAGAGATCAATAGGGGTTTGATTGGGGTCGATACCGGTGAAGATGATGGTGACAATGAAGATCACCGCTAGCTGGCCGATGACTTTTAGAAGGGAGAATAGGGAGGGAGATGCACCAGGGGTTCTGTTTGAATTTGTTTTTTTTTACAAAAAAATTATTTTTATTTTATTTTTATTTTTTCAAATAAA